ATATTGGAACACGAAAGGGATGTTTGAAGTTGGAGAAATTAAGAAAGCAGCTGAATAATGCGAGGTGTTGGGGTGGGTGGGGTGATACTGAGGCTGCTCCTGTGTGGGTGGCAGGATGTTCCACAGTGGCTGCCCCCCCTCACGTCATGAGGTAGTTCTCCTGCAGTGCCAGGGTGGGTGGGCTGCAGGTGGCCCGGTTGGTGCCCCAACCCCCTACCCTTCCCTTAGCACCCCATGCAGCTAGAGCCCAGCACCCCTCGTCACCCCAAAAGCCTCCTGGGGACCCATCCCTTCCAGGACCCCACAGCCCTCCCAGGGGAACCCATGCCTCTTTAAGGAGCTCAGCCCTCCTAGTGACTCCGCCCTCCCGTGGAACCCACAATGCTCCTGGGGACCACACAACCCTCCCAGTTACCCCGGTCCTCCTGAGGACCCCACAGTCCTCCTGGGGACTCCAGTCCTCCCTGGATTCACCAGCATCTCCTGGAGACACCACCCTCGTTGGGGACACCACCCTCTTTGGGGACCCCACAGCTCTCCCCAGGTCCTGACCACCCTGCCAGGGAGGATGACCCTGGGAATACTTACGGCTCATTTGCTGCGACGTTCCTTTGGGAATTTCACCTGCAAGAGAAAAGTGCCCTTGCACGGGGGCTCGGTGGCCCTCTCTCTGTTCCCCCCACTCTCCCCACCGCCCGCTGGCCAGCCCCAGGGGGAATGGGGTCAGGGTGCACACCCAAGCTGTGGGTGCAGGAGCCGGTGCAGCCTGACGGTGACCCCCAGCTCCGTGCTCACCAGATGCATGTAGAATTCGGCCAAGCCCAGAAGGTGGAGGGCAAAGTGGATGCAGTTGTTGTATAATAAACTATACGTGGCTTCGCAGTTCATCGCCTCCTTGACTTTTCTTCTGAATTCTTGGAGATTGATCCCACCCACTTTCCGGTAAACATCGCATTTTTCTCTCGACCTTTTCATGGCTTCAAAGCCTTCCTTGCTGATCAGACCACTTTTGGAATCCGCGTCTATGTCTGCAAAGCCAAGAGCCACCCATCACCCTGGCCCAGCCGCCGAGCCACTGGCCACGACCACATCCCGAAGGCGGGGGGGAACCGGGAGCTTACACTGGAAGTGGATGACCTCTCCGTCCCCGCAGTAGACAGCCGCGTGTTTGAAGAGTGTGCTGACTTTGCCCCAGCTGTTTTCCATGGGGAAGAGAAGGATGTCCCCAGGCTCTACGTTACTCTCCGAGACCTTTTGAAAGGAAACCCCGATGGCGGGGTCCTCCGGGCACACCATAAATGCAAATGCCTCAAACTCTCTCTGCCAACCGCACCGAGGAGGGAAGGTCAGGAGGTGGCAGAACCTGCCCCAACCCCCCAAGCTCTCCCCCAAACCTCCTGACACTCGTGGGTGTCTCCCCAAGCTCCTACTTACGCTGCTGCTCGCCATCTGCAAGGAGAGAGGGACAGAAACGGTGCGTCAGCGCCGTGCTCGTGCCGTCCTGCCCCTGCACCGAGGGCAGAGGAGGTCCCACCCTGCCACCGAAGCCTGCCCCTGGTGCCTCCTGCCAGCACAAGGCCTTGGCTCGGGCAGAAGTGCCCCAGCCTGCCAGGTGCTTGGAGCTGGAGACGTGCCGGGACCAGCCCCGCTCGTCGTCTCCCCCTTTCCCGTGTGACCCAGGAGCTGCCTGGGGAGGGGCGTGGGGATGGGAGCAGCCTTACCAAGGCACTGCTGGTGCTGATCATTGTTGTCCCAGGGACGGAGCCGGTGGAGGAGTCGGGAAGATGTGGCCTCCAGAAAGGGCTGTGGGAAATGCTGCAGGGGTAGGTGGGGTGGCAATACACAGATGGGTGGTTCCTCTGGGGGCCGGATGCTGCTCACATCCTGCTTTTGTGGAAAAGAGTTTCTGGGAAAGGAATCAGAAAGTGAAACCAACACAAATTAAACAGGCTTTCACATGCGCCAACAGCCCCCACAGCTGCCCCCTGCTGCCCCCCCATCACCCAGACCATGATGTGGGGTCCCCAGTCAGGACTCAGCCATGCAAACTCCCCCCGGCGAAGGAGCTCCTCAACATGTCTCCAAACCCCGGCCGTAGGACGGGTGTCACTTGGGACATGGCACCTGGGGTGGGCCCATCCTCCAGGCAAGGCTTGAACCTGACCCCAAGAAGAATTATTGGTTTTGGCCAGGAGGAACAGCTGGGCCAGAGCCCTGCCAGTGTCCCCAGGGCCACCACCTCGCACCAAAGCTGTGCTGCCACTGCCGCTGCTGTGAAAGCAGACAGAGGGGCTGGGTGGGTGGGTGGTGATACGGCCAAGGAGGTGACAACTCCTGTCCTGGACATCGAGGCTGCACATCCTGCCTGCTACAGAGCCCTGTGAGCCAATCAGCTGGGGCCACTCGCCAGCTCTCTGAGCCTGAGGTGGCCACCACCACTGGGCCAGCTGCTATGGCCCCAGTTTGGTGGGGATGGTGTCCCTTAGGGAAGGGGGTGGTAGTGGCATTTTCCTAGCCCAAGGAGAGGACCAGGGCCTGTGTCTTGTCCCCACAGATAGAGCATCCTCAAGGTGTTGCAACCATCCACACTGGGCTGGCATCATCATGGGGATGTCACCGTCCCCACTGACCCAACATGCTCATGGGGATGCAGATGTGCTCACCAAGCTCACCTTTTCCAGGGTATGAAGCTGTCTTTGCAGAGCTGGCATCTTTGTGGAGATGCTGCTGTACTCAGTGAGTAGAAAATCCTCATGGAGATGCCACCATCCACACCAAACCATCATCTTCACAGAGATGCCGCCCCCTCGGTGAGTCACCCTGAGCTTTCCCTCCCCAGCCTGTGGTCAGCAGTGTGGTGATGGTGTTCAGTGAGGTCTGCCCAGAGCATGCTGGCATCATCCATAAGAACTACCACAAGCTCTGCAACCAGATCGTCACCAGGAAGGCCTGGGGGAAGGTGGTTATCATCAACGTGTTGACCTGCTACTCACAAACGTAGTTCCTCAGCACCAGCTAGAACCTGAGTGTGGGAACATCAGGATGCCCTGGAAGCCTCCTGGTGCCCTGGAAGACCTCAGGGAGGTGGAGTGAAGGAGGGTACTGTTGGGGATTTGGAGGAGTCCCACCTGCAGGTATCACTCTTTGCTGGAGGAGAGCAATGAGATGGCTTTCTACATTCCTGAGGAGGAGGACACCAAGGACACTGAAGCAGAGGTGGCCTCATTAGCCAAATGCAAGCCCTACATCACAGATTTTGACCACCACCTGCCCCTGCACAACCTCAACCCACTGCTGCGGAGCTTCAATGCCATGCTGAGTCCCTGCCCTGCTGGTTGTGTCCAGAAGCCTGGGCTTGTGATGTTCTTACCTTGACCCACAAGCCATTTGTCTTTTTCTCTGCTTGTCCCTTGGAGGAGGGGAGTGATCGAGGGGCTGAATGGGCCCCTGGCAGCAACCCAAGGCCAGCCCACTACAATTATTTGATGATGCCCGTTATCTGCTAGATGTCACAGATGGGACACCAGATGTCTTGAATTCCTTTATTAATCTTATTTTGGATAATACTGGAGAGCAAAAGGGACATTTGATGTAGGAGAAATTAAGAAAACAGTTGAATAATGCAAGGTGCTGGGGTGAGCGGAGCGACGCGAAGGCTTGTCTGTGGGTGGGTGGTCTGTCATCATCCTCAGGGGAATGGTCCATGGCAGCCACCACCCCTCACATCACGTAGCACCTCCACTGCAATGCCAGGGTGGGTGGGCTGCAGGTGGCCCGGTTGGTGGCCCAACCCTCTGCCCTTCCCTTACCACCCCATGTGGCTGGAGCCCAGCACCTCTCGTCATCCCAAAGGCCTCCTGGGGACACCAGCCCTCCTGGGGACCCATCCCTTCCAGGACCCCACAGTCCTCCCAGCCCTCCTGGGGACTCATCCCTTCCAGGACCCCACAGTCCTCCCAGGGGAACCTATGCCTCTTTGAGGAGCTCAGCCCTCCTGGTGACTCAGCCCTCCCTTGGAAGCCACAGTGCTCCTGGGGACCCAGCCCTCCTGGGGAAAACTGTCCCTTTTGGAGACACCAGCCCACTTTTGGAACACCAGCACTCTTTGAGTACACCAACCCTTCTCAGGGACCCCACAGCCCTCCCCAAGTCATGACAGCCCTGCCAGGGAGGCTGACCTTGGAGATACTCATGGTCCCTTTGCCATCAACATCTCTGTGAACTTCCACCTGCAAGAGAAGTCTGTCCATGCGTGGGGGGCTCTGCTGTCCCCCCCACTTTCACCACCACTGTCACCTCAGCCCGTGGGCCAGCCCAGGACACAAATTCAGGGCTTGCTGTGGGTGCAGGAGCCATCGCACCATGGCTGTGGCACTCACCTCTGTGCCTACCAACCTGATTTGGGGACTCCAGGTCTCATGAGGAACACAGCCCTCCTGGGAACCCCAGGCCTCTTTGGAGACCCCAGCCGTGCTGGGGACCCATCCCTCACAGGACCCCATAGTCCAAACAAGGGAATTCATCACTCTTTCAGGACCTGAGCCCTACTGGAGTCTCAGACCACCCTTGGTCCCCAGAGCCACCCTGGTGACCCCATCCTGGGGTCCTCACAACCCTCCCTGTTACCTGAACCTCCTCGGGACCCCATAGTCTTCCAGTGGACCCCAGCCCCTGAAAGACCCCAGCCCAGCTGGAGACATCAGAATTCCCAAGGACCACAGCCTCTTGAGGACCTGAGGTCTTCCAGGGACCCCACCCCCCCCTGGAGACACCAGCCCTCTTTGGAGAACCCACAGGCCACTCGGGATCTTGACAGCCCTGCCAGGGAGGCTGACACTGGGGATACTCACGGCCTCTTGGCTGCTACCTTCATTTGGTGTTTCCACCTACAAGAGAACCATGTACATGCACAGGAGGCTCAGCTGTCCCCACCGCTGCCCCCAGTGCTGTCCCCATCACCCATGGCCCAGAACCAGGGGAAATGGACTCGGGGTGCAGATTCAGGGCTGGCTGTGGATGCAGGAGCCACAGCCCAGCTCTGTGCTCACCAGCTTGATTTGAGGACTCCAGGAATCCTGAGGATCACAACCTTCCTGGAGACATCTTCCATCTTTGGGGACCCCAATCCTCTTTGGGGACCCCATGGCCCTCATAGCATCCTGAGAGCCCTGCTGGGGAGGGCTGACACTGGGGAGACTCCAGGCCTCTTGGCTGCTAGCTTCGCCTGGGATTTCCACCTGCAAGAGAAAGCTGTCCATGTGCAGGGGGCTCAGCTGTCCCCACCGCTGTCCCCATCGCCTGTGGGCCAGCCCCAGCGGGAACTGGCTCAGGATGCCAGCCCAGGGCTGGCTCTGGGTGCAGGAGCCTTTCCCCTACAGCTGTGACGTGCAGCTCTGTGCTCACCAGAGTTTTGTAGAAGTCAGTCAAATCCAGAAGGTGGAAGGCAAAATGGATGTTGTTGTTTATGCCCTCGTGATATTTGCCCTCGCTGTTCATCGCCTCCTTGACTTTTCTCTCCAAGTCATCGAGAACGATCTCACCTTTTTTCCGGTAAATCTGGCATTTCCCCCTACTGTTTTTCATGGCTTCGAAGCCTTCCTTGCTGATCACACCGATGCTTGTCCCAGAATTTCTGTCTGCAAAAGCCCAGAGCCACACATCACCGTGGCCCAGCCACCGTGCCACCGGCCGCCTCTTGGCCACGACCATGACCTAAAGGCAAGCAGAGGGTCGGGTACTTACTCTGGAAGTGGATGACCTCTCCATCCCCGCAGTAGACAGCCACGTGTTTGAAGGTGGATTTGACGTTGCCGTCGATGTTGCCCAAGGGGAACAGCACCATGTCCCCAGGCTGCAATGTACTCTCTGATACCTCCTCAAAGACATCCACGCCCGTGGAGATCCTCTGGTGCAGCACAAACGTGAGTTCCTTTATGTCTCTCTGCAGACTGAACTGGGGAGGGAAGGTGAGGAGGTGGCAGAACCTGCCCCATCAGCCCAAAATACCCCCAAGTCCCTTCCGCCGCTGCTGGCAGAGGTCTCGCCAAGCTCCTACTTACACTGGTGCCTGGCATCTGCAAGGAGAGAGGAACAGAAACAGGGTGTCAGTGTGTGCTCGTCCTGCACAGAGGGTGGGGTCCCCCCCTGCCACCACAGCCTGCGGGTCCCACCCTGCCACCGAAGCCTGCCCCTGGTGCCTCCTGCCAG